GTTCTTCTTTAAAAGTCTTTGAATCTGAGCTGGATAAAAGTTTAAGCATTTGGATGATAAAGAGCCGATTATAGTCAGGACTTAGGCAGTTCAAGATAGCAGAGAATGCCTCTGATATTTCCACTTCCAATCAGACTAAAGTGATGCCATTTTTGTTTAAGATACCTTGCTAAAATGTCCTTGTTTAATTTCCTAAAATATGTGTTATATTCTTTTTCTTAGGAAAGTTGTATTTCCAATTGGCCCTTTTGAAGATAAAAGATTTTTCTGTAGCATTAAAAATGTCAGCTTTAGGGTGCCTGGGTGGCTCAGTTGGTTAAGCGACTGCCCTCGGCTCAGGTCATGATCCTGGAGTCCCGGGATTGAGTCCCGCATCGGGCTCCCTGCTCGGCAGGGAGCCTTCTTCTCTCTCTGACCCTCCCCCCTCTCATGTGCTCTCTGTCTCTCTCATTCTCTCTGTCTCAAATAAAAAAAAAAAAAAAAAAATCTAAAAATGTCAGCTTTACATTTAACTTAGCTTTTAATGAATAAAAGAAGAAATTAATATCTCTTTTAAAGGTCTGACATTGAATTTCTAATCTAGAATGCAAAAATACGAGCAATGTGGTGTTTATCTACATGTTTCGAAGAAATACTAAAATTTTCTATTTAACCAAATAATAAATAATAAGAAATAAAGTCTTGTTTTTAAAAATATATTTTAGTTCAGTATATAAAACATGTGAGAACGATATGAGATTATTTTCTCCATTATAAGTTTTTGTATGCATAAGAAATTATTATTTTGTAAGTTGTAAAATCCTTTGTGACTAAATTTTGATGGTGTGTTAGTGAAATACTGCTCTTCTCCAGTCTTGCTGTACATCACATAACTTGAGCTCACCAGCACACCAAAAATAAATACATAAAAAAAATAAGACAGAGTCACAGCTGTTAAGACAAAAAAAAAAAATGAAATAGGAAGGTTACAAAGATGATACTATTCACAGATTCAGTCATTACTATGGCTCAAGTTAAGAACAGACTGGCTTAATGATCAGGCATGTTGTGTCTATTCAAAGCTTGGCAGCTCAATGTAATTAGTGTACTAATAGCTTGAGTATTTGATACAGCATGGTTCTGGAGCTTAATAGGAGTTGTCATACACCATTTAAACTAGAGCTTTGGAATCATTTATTGTTTATCGTCTTTAGCAAATAGCATTTGGCCACCCTTGTCAAGATATGCAGAAAAAAAGTTTCCAGAAACAACTGCTAAACTCTCCATCTTTAATCATTACATCTACCAGTTGGACGCATTTCTACTCCAAAAGTGAAGGGCATGGCAGATCCAAAGTGAATCAGACTCTTCTATGTATGTATTATTGTGAGAATTTGGATGGGATGTATTACTACATAAATGAACACTTAAGAATTGTTCCTGTCCTATACACTCATGCAGACCCACATACACACACGTACACGCACCCACTCCCTCCCTGCTAGAACAGTCTCCTGAGTTGTCAGGGAGTGTGGCCAGTCAACCCAGGAGAGGGCTGTGTGCCATTGTTGGCCCAGAGAAAAGGGTTCCACAGGCACTGATACCCCAGATCTCTGCAAAAGGAGTCAAAATAGTATAGCCAGTAGTTCGGGAAGGGGCTAAAGCTGATCCAGAACTGGCCTAGCTTCACCTGCTCACCAAGGGGAGGGCGTGAGAAAGTGTACTTTCACAGCCAGAAGGAACCCGACCCCATGCCGCTCTCCATCTGCTGGCAAGAGCCATAACACGGCGATTACCTGACATTTCACATACACATGAGAACTCTCAAGTGTCCTCAGAAGCTAGTCCCTGAACCTCCTTTTTCCAAACTCTGTCAGAGAGACTGGATTCCTGTGTCATGTGGGCTGCGCTTGAGTGTAACCCCCAACACCTCAGTGCGGTGTTTTATAAAGAAGCATGGTTGTACTCTCGAAAGCACGATCTCTGAACTCACGTAGAAGGTGTAGACCATGGCCACAGTTTTAGAGGCCTTCAGTTGTTCATGAGGGGTCTTGTGGGACGAGCGGGTGCATCCTCAAGCAGGTGCATGCAAATGCTGGTGACTCCCTGCAGGAGTAAGTGACTGAAGTATTTCTCGTAACACCTTTAATTCCTTCCGTCCTCTCTTCTCTCAGTAGTAGAGGAAATAACCATGCCATAGATGGAGGCAACTTGTTTCTTTTAGAAAATGTTCCTAAGATGGCCTTTTTGCTCTTTAGGAAATACATGTTGGCATGTTATTTTATTCTAGAGAAATAACTAAAATGTTAGCATAGCATTCTTGGAAATACTTTTGAGTGATTCATCTAATCAATAAATATTTGCTAGCTGGCTCCAGCTGTGACTCAGCTATGTGGTGTATAACTAGAATGCAGGTGTCATATATTAGAATCCCATCATAAAAGAGTTTCAATGGAAGGAAGAGATTCTTTTTGATTGTGGATCATGGAAGCTTCTATGGAGTTTGATGTATTTGAGTTGGGCCTTGAAATGTTAATAGAAGAGATTACAGAAGAGGAGTAGAACACACATAAAGATAGGAAAGCTTGGGTGTTTGTAGCAAATTTTGGTTGGCCTTTTTAATCTAAACAACAGAATATACCATAGGAATAGTGGGGGAAAAGGCAGGGAGCAAAGGTTATCATATCCCTGAACTCTCTGGCAGTGTATTATTTTTCTGGATCATTTTGCTTTTGTAACTCATTTCTTGTGGACCTTCTATATGTAAAAACTTAATTATCATTATCTTACTTCACCGTAAATGTCAGCATAGATTTGCCTGCGTTTCTGATATTTTAGGGTTGGATAAGATGTAATTATGGGGACAGTTTTTGTCACTATTACTTTTTGCCCAAGAAAACCTGTATGTAAGGATATCTGGTACTATGACTTGAGCAGATTTCCTAACTTTCTTAAATGAGCATAAAGCATTTGGGTGTCTGCGAACCCTAGCCTGCCATTCAGGGCCCTCCATAATATAATCATAATAGACCAAGAGAAGCCACAATACCAATAATTGTTTCTTAGTTGAGGGGACAAGGTGGATTTGGGTTTTACGGACACAGGCTCTGTGCTGCAACTGTTGCTGTTACAGTTTTACTCCCAACATTCGTGTTGTCTGCCAGCTTATTGTTTTCCACCTCCTATGAGGAGACAGATAGGTGAGGCCGGGCCAGCAGGTAGAATGACCACAGTGGGATACAGGCTAGCGATGAAACCCAGGGGAACAGGGCATGTAGCATAATCCCTGAGTTAGAAGATACACCGTTGATTTAATATCTGCTGGGAAAGAAAAAAAGGGCACACTGCCTTTTTATGATGCCCCATCCATCATACGAAGCAGCTCATTTTCCAGTGTTACAAATGAAAATAAATTGTCACAGAATCCACTGAAAAGGTAACTTAGATTTGCATTCTAGGGGAGAGGCAGAGGTGAGAGACTAGACTAAGTTATCAGACCAAAATATATGCCCCAGAAATTGAAAGTCAACAAACTGAGCCCAGGGGCCAAGCTGGGTGGGAGGGAAGCAAGCGTTGAGGGGTCTGGGAATGGGTTGGCATTGGGACGTCCTTCAGGGATGGGATTGAGCACATTACCCCCAGGAAGAGAAGTTGAAGGACACTAGGAACATGGTCCCTCTTCCAGCAGGATGGCAAGTGGGCAGCCCTGGATGCATTGTCTTTCTTTGGCTGGAGGGAGTGCTCCCTGGCCCTTCCCTGAGTGCTCAGGTGAGGGCAGCAGAGTCTCACACGTTGGCGTGAGGCCCGTTGCCATGTCTCCCCAGGTGTAACAGGTGCTTGCAGCCCTTTGGGGAGCAAAGCCATGGTCTTACACAATCCCACACTTCCTTGTATGGCCTTCTATGAGTATCACTGCTTTTCTTTGTTATTTTCACACTACATTTCACAGGTTACTGAGAAGCAAGTGTAAATCTTTTGGAGGCACCTACATCTTGACGTGGCCTGATTCTAAAGCCATGTTATTTTTCTTGAACTTTGAAAGAAATCACAATAATTCCATTCATGGTATATCCGTGCTTTATGTTGGGGTGGGGGATAAAAGCACATACGAAAAACGGTATTGTGAGCACAAAAAATACTGTGTACTAAAAGACTTGTGTCTTATCTCCTAGGTAAGTAGACCTAGCACGATGCTTGGTACTCAGTCAATGCTTAGTAAATTTCAGTTTAATGAAACAGGGTTTTGTAGTATTTAAAGCATTATCTTTAAACATAATTTGTGCATGCTGTTTGTCCTAAGGTCTGTTCGTGACATATCATTGTAAATAATAAATTACTATTTATTGTGGTGAATGATTAGGAATTATTTTGAATGTCATAGCTGATATTTTGATATGACAGTCCTTAAAATCTTTCACTGACATCTCACCAAATATATCAACAGTTCTTAACATCTATAGGCAAAGGATTTAGAATTGGTCATCTGAAGTTCAAAGCGTGTGGTCACAGTATAAGCTTCATAGCCAAGTGAGAAGCACATGCAGTACAGAGGTATAGAAAAGTATGTTTCATTTTTTTTTACAAAGACGCTCAGGAACAAAAATTTCCGTGAAATTTGGTCCACGCACAGGCAGATTTTTAAATTGCACACACTGCAGTCGCACACAAAGTAACTTCTTTCTGATTCAGTTTCATAAATTGCTACATGAAGAAGCACTCTGTGGTAGATAATCCTCAGAAATCAGCACTTAATATGGCAGTAATGGTTATTGCTGTCATTCTTTACATCTTTAAAAATAATCAAGCATTACTGCCTAGGCATTATAAAGTTCCCCTCTCACCATTAAGAGGATATTTGAGGTTTGAGGTAATTTAGCAAATTACATTATGCAGTAGTTAAGGGTTTTACGTAGTGGAGTAGACTGCGTGGTAGTTGAGCACACTTCCCGTGTAACGCGCTGTACAGGGTTCTGAGCCGCGGCTGCCACTGGTTTGGCTCCAGCGTCCTTATTGCTTTGCAGGCCGACGTTCCTCAGGGAGTGATTCGAGTGCAAGCTCCCCATCTTTCCAAAGTTTCCATGGCAATACAGCTCACTGAAGAACTAAAAGCCAGTGACGTGCTTGCCAGGTTTCTCAGCCAAGAAAGGTAGAGGCCTCTCTTGTTTTAATCATTGCATGGTATAACTTACACACACGCGCTCTTTCTCCTTCCCATTTTAAAAAACACACACAACGAGGGGTGATGGGAAGTGCTTCAGAATTTTGCCTTCCCAGCAGAAAAGAAGAGCGGACTTAATAATTAGACGGTTGGAATGGGCTGCGTTCTGTGAGGTCGTTTATGGGCAGGGTGAGCCTGTGGCGAGCAGGATGTCGGGGCTTGCCTTCACTGTGCTTGCAACGGGCTTGGCACAATGAGAGCACTTGATATTCTTTCCAGAATGTGTGGACTGGGGGTGAATTACTGTGCGGGGGCTGTTAGGAAAATCACTAAGATACAGTGGGATTAAAACAAAGAAACAAAAAGTGCAACTTTTTCTATGAAATTAATGAATAAAGAGAAATGCTCATATTTGAAAAGCAAGGTCTGAAGAATTGAGAGAGGACAGCCGGTCCCTGGAGCTTTGAAGTCCCCTGGACACAGAGCACACCGTCCCCGTTAGGGACAACCATGCCTTCTCCTCTGTTCTGGTGCTGATGGGGTAGGAGGAGGAGTTCTCTGAAAGCCGTTGGCATCCCTCTGATGATGATTAGAGCATATGCTTTCTGAGACATCTTACAATATCTGTTCTTAAATTTTAGAGGTTTAACAAGTGTGTTGGATTTTTACTTTTTATCCTTCTGATTCTTATTTTTTAGCTAAAGTTATTATTTTAATGATTTCCACCTCACTGAAAATTAATTTTTTTTTTTTAAAGGGAAATCCAGGGCCCTGGCGTCTTAGCTTATGAATTCTCTTAGTCTTCCATAGGATGTCATCTCTGCATTCTAACATTCAAGGGCATCAGTGAAGTTTTCTGCAAAAATCTCTCAGTGTTAATATAGTACCACGAGTATTTACTATGCTTCTGCTCTGTTTAAGGCCCCCTGCTGGATGTCAGAAAGGGTATAAAGATGTATTTTAAAGTATCTTCCCTCAGGGTTTGTAAATTGGGAGAAGAGATGAGCCTGAGCAGTAACAGATGGTGGGGAAATAGAAGAGAAGCTTATTGATCATATCTGGGCTTTCGGTAGGCCAGCAACAACTCCCCTCTCAACTGTACGGTGAAGTAAGCACTAATATTACTCCTGTTTTACTGATAAGAAAACCGAGACTTTGCAAGGTCACACATTTCATAGGCGGTGGTGCTAAATTCTAAATGTGTGGTTTCCATCTCCAAAGGCTGCCCTTTAAACACCCTCCTTACAAGCCAGGATCTAGCAACCATCACGGATCTGGGTCCATTGATGCAGAGTCTCGGAGGAGATGGAATTTTAGGGGATTAAGCCCTGGAGCAATTAGGTGTCTTTGCTCCCCAAAGGGTCTCTCTGCTTCCTCTCTGCTCCCTGCTGTGACCTAGTAGATACCAACTCTTGCCATTCTGCTCACCAGGGATGACTGCCCATCTTTTCCCAGAGTGGTTACCTGAAGATCATCTGGCCAGACTTCAGATATATAGCAGCTCTTTCAGCCTAGATACAGTTAATTCACACAGCATTTACTTTAAGGACCCAAGTGCTCAGTTGAGTCTGTACTTTTGTTGCTGTCCTTGCAGATGATGGAAGAGGTGACTATGAAGTCAACTGTGACTTTAATATTTAGGGGATAGCATGATTGTTCTAGAAAGCACCAGATTTGTGACAATTGTCCTCTGCATATTTGGATTTTCTGCTTGCGGTGCTTTTATTAAATAAGCATTTGCTGCCCCCTGGAGTGTGGGGCCTGTTTCTCTACCTCCTTCCTTCTCCCCATCTTGCTCCACTCAGAGGGCCATTTGGTAAACTTCTCTGTCCATTGCTTACCCCCCCCCCACCCCCAACCATTCCTCAGCTCCTTTCTTTATGCTTGGGGATGCTGAAGGCAGATGATCTGGATCCAAATGCCAGCTTTTCCTGCTTCTTTTCAAGCTAGATTTATAATCTCTTTAAGTCTCAAGTTTTTTTATTTGTAGGAGTAGACCATAATAGGACCTGCATTATAGCCTTGGGATAATGAACTAGGAAAGTGACCGTGAAGGACATAGCACTATCTGTTTGGGCCATATAAGTGACATTCTCAGTTAAGTGTTGATATATATGTTCTCTTCCACCACATTCTCCTCTTCTCCCACTTGCATTCCACCAGTGTAGGGGCAGTTGGAAACCCTCCCTCCCCCATCTTTTCCCTCCCCTACTTTCTCCACCAAAGACAAGAACACATGAATGACATAAAGTGAATATACAATAAATTTCACATTTACTTATCAGTCTTGATAAAGGCTGTTGCCTTTTCTTTAATTATGGATTTTTGATTAGCATTATGCAAAGCTTGTATTTCCCAGGAAATCCAGTTGAGGTTTTGTTTTTTTTTTTTTTTAATATAGAGCAAGAACACAGATACTGGAGAAACAACCTGAGAGCAATATCTAGCTGGGTTTTTTTTTTCCCCCCTTACCAAGTCTCCCAAAACATTCAGCTTGGTTTTCATAGAAGTAATGACTCTTTTTATACTCATAGTTTATTGTGCTATATTATAAATAAAATAATTATTATTTTAAAAACAAGCATACACTGGTTTGGAACAAAGTGAGCTGTCTCTTGGTTAGGATACAACTCAGCAGATGGATCTTAAGTGTGGGGGCGTATAAAGCCCCAAGTGTCTATCATGTTCCATAGAGCAGAGTAGTTAAGAGTTGGATAACCCAAATGAGTCATGGGACGGTTGGTTAGGAAAGCTTCTACTGTGCCATATTTTTCATAATGGTTTGAATAAAAGTCAGATCTGCCATTCCCTTTACAATTCCAGGGAGTGTGTTTTTGGGGCCTTACAGAAGTGGTTCACAAACCCTCCTGTGTATCACAGTCCGCTAGAGAGCATTTGCAAAACAGATTCTTTGGTTTGATCTAGATGTACAAAATCAGTTTCTAGAGCTCTGGGTCTGAATTTTTAGCAGGTTTCTCAGGTAATTTGTATACAGAGTTTTGAAAGCCACTGAATTTTGCCAATTTTTATTATTCGAACCTAATGTTCTGGAAGAGTTTATTCTTTGAAGAGCATAACTCTGTAAATGCATCTCCTACTTGTGAAACCATCATAATGACTGTTTGCTTCTACTTTGAGTATATGTAACCCCTGTATTTGAATGGCCAACACAGGAAGGGTTATGAACCATGTCCTATTCTTTACATTCATCTTGCATACTGTGAGAGTTGTCAGCACAGCAAACACATGATAAATACTTAACGGAATAAATGCAGTGGGAAAACTGAGGTGGAAATATTTCTTTTTATAGTTTTAGGAGGACCTTTCTGGCCCCTATGCAAAGTAGTTGATCAAATTAATAGTTTTATTGGTAGCTAAAAGTTATGTTACTTTTCTTTTTAATTTTACAAATTTAGATGCTGATTTATTATTTTGCCTTCAGATATATGAGTCCATTTGTTTATTTTAATTTACAGGTGTGACATTTTTATTACCTATTTGGCACACTTAACAGATGGGAAAATACAAATGTTAGATAATCACAGTGTGTCTAAGTTATGAATTTCCCATACAAGCCAGAATTCCCCAAGCGCATTAAAGTGATTTACTTGCAAGCTGTTTGATGATACAACTAATCAGTTTGTTTTGTCCCTAATAGCGGGATTGCCCAGACTCTTAAGAAAGGGGAAGTTTTTTTGTATGAAATTGGAGGAAATATTGGTAAGCACATTTTGTTTCTCTCTGTGTTACATATGCTGATTTGACATTGCCAATGGTTATTATTTATATCTTTGAGGAGAAAAAAATCAGAAGTTAAATATAGCATGCTTTAGATAGTTGATGAATTTTGTGAATTTGTTCAGTGGTCTGACTTTTCAGGCTCTATTTGAGCTCCTCCATACAAATGCCCATCTGCGTTAAACCTCAGCAAGGGCACATTCCCTTAAAATAGTAGCAACTTCTAGAATGGTAATGAACTTTTTCAAAACTTCTTTCTTTTTTATATGCTTACATCACATTCTTAATAAAGGAAGTAGCTGAGCTTATTTAAGGCCAGGATTACATTTTTAATATGGCTCAGTACGAGATATTTTTAGTGAAAGCAGAAGTTATTTTTGCCATTGTTGATTGCCTTCTAAATAATGCACGCACACACACACAAAGACAAACACAGATATACACACATACGAATACAAGCACATTGGTAACTTAGGAAGTAAAAACAGAATGAATGGATTGATTTTGACCATGCCCATTTTCAGTTATCAGTGGGTTGTACTCATCTCTATTAAAATTTAAAGTAAACTTTTTCTCTTTATTTTGACCTTGAAAATGGTACAGGTGAAATTGTTAACAAATAAATGAAATAGTGTTTAATTCAAAGTAATAATTGAAAATATTTGAAGATTTTAAGTTTTGTGGAATTTTTTCCTGGGACACAAAAGTGTTAGTAGATACTGAATACTGGGAATATGAAGGCTTACTCTTAAAATTTAAATAAACTGCAACTCTGTTAGGAGCCTGGAAATGTTAACTCTATTAGCAAGGTTTATTTAAATATTTATATATTTGATCTTGCATTTTTACTCTTAGATATTGGGAATGAAGTATTTTCTTACTTCGGGAGACCCAAAGCTGTTGCCACTCTTAATAAAGGTGAATAAGCTCTTAATGAGCCATTGCAGAGCCCTTCACACAAAATCTTTTCAACTTCCTAAATTAATTTGAAACCCTTTCCTTTAGAGAAAGCCTACTAAATTGACTTTTTTCAGTATTTTGGCCAAGTCTTATAATGTCACGGGAGATGGGAAAGGATGAGAGATATTTTGAAGTCTAAGATTTCGGAGTTAAACCATCAGGAATAAGTTTAAAATTGCATCCCAGCCTCTGCACTGTATTCAACTGATCCAGTGTCTCTTTGGTAGGAGAACGTTGCCTTGATGATGACACTTACATGAAGGACTTGTATCAGCTAAACCCCAACGCCGAGTGGGTCATAAAGTCAAAGGCGTCATAGGAGACTGAAGCTGCAGTTAACCACGAGGACCTCCTGAGACTACTTGCTGGGGCAAGCGTGCAAATGAAAGAAACGGCGGGACTCTTCTATTGTTCAAATGTACCCAACTATTGAATACTGACACTCTGAAGCCTTAAAAAGTCAGATTTGTGCTGCTGCCAGAATTATGTTCATTATTAATAATGCGATGAGCAGACAAACATCTCTGGAGTCAGAGGAAAAAGGGTTAATTAGCTTGGCGCCGTGATGCTCTGTGAAAGGTGCCCGGATGTGGCAATTTTTTTTTTTTTTAATGTGAAAACGTACTCTCTTCCTTCTCACTTTTTTCTCCTAAAATCATATACATGGTAATACGTGCTTCCTCTCCTTTTTCTTCTCCTCATGTCTGCCTTCCCCCAACTAGGTTTGCTTTTTAACCGAAAAGATCACAAATACCAGGTATTTGGCAAGTCGTGAAGATAATGCATCTTAAAATAGACTGAATTCAGTAGTATTCATGTCACCGTCGAATGTTAATATTCCTCCCTTTGAATCATTTGTTCAGACAATAACATCCCACTTCTTCCTGCTGTATCACATGAAGTGATTTGCATTGTTTTCGGCTCATCTGACACATGTGCGCAGAACCGTATCCGCTATCAAGCAAATAAAACTGTCAGAAACTGCCAATTATTACTGAACTTTTAAATACTTCTAGACTAAGAATAAATACAATATATCCATGTGGAATAACTGGATTATGGGTAACAAGAGAGTGAAAGCCAAATCACTTCATGTATCCTCCTAAGTGAAATTTATGAAGTCTTAGCTGGCTTTACCTATTGTCGTATTAGTACAAATATGCATGATAGTATAATCCAGTAATGGCTAAGAATGTATTCTACTGAAAGAGAGATTTTTTTTTAACTCCTAAAGAAGGCTGCAGGAAGCATTATTTTTTTTCTGGGTATGACATAGTCATGTGAACAAGTTTTTGTTTGTGTACTTTAAATCATCAGAGTAAATTTATTAAAATGCTGTGGAAAGTACTATTCCCAGGGAGTTTAATGCACAAACCATATTGTGACAAGGGCTGAGCCTCTGAACTGTAAATAAGAGGAACGAAGTGAGAAATTTTCAATATTTTATGAGTTTAGAGTGTAGTAAATAAAAGGTGATGTAAATGAATGTTGCACACCCTGTGTTTTTGATACTTTTAGTAGTATTTTAGGGAAAATTACACATTCTCAGAAGCTCTTGATGTCACTCCAGTTAAGAGGGAAAATGCCGTTAATGAGGACAGTCATACATTTTTAGCATGTAATTATAAGAGCAGCCTGTGGGTATGATCACTTAAATAACATTGTGGTGATTTGTGCCATTGCTTTTTTTATTTAAAAATTTTTTATAATTAAATGTGTTTTTCTAAATCATCTTCTCTTGGAATTATTACTTTTAATCCTCTATGTTTATGAATGTACTATATTTTTGTTGGTATTTGTGGTTTTTGTTAAAAGCCACTTCTTTTATTTTTTCCTGTTACTCCTGTATAATGTTTAAATTGGGAAGATGTGTGGAAGATATAAAACTGTTTCCCTCCTTCGTTTTTTCCTTATGCAAACTTCTATTCTTAGGATTTTTCAAAAACACATTGTATTCTGTTTTTGATCTTGACAATATATATTAATTTCCCAAAATGTTTTATTAATAGTTTAAGTTAATGAAAGCAATTCATGATATAAACTCGAAATTAAGTGCTTAATACATTTTAGGGGTGCACAACTTCAAAAAAAGGAGTGAATATGATGATTTAGATAAATGGCTTCCTAAAGCATATGTCAATTAACTTACCACATTTACTCTCCCCCTGGTATGTGTGTTGGTGGTGGTGGGGGGGTGCGGTGTGGGGACACAAGAGGCTTTTTCTAATGAAAAGAATGCCAGATCTTGGTAAATAAATACAAAGATGCCATTGCATTTCAAGGCCTTAGAACTCAGGACCCATATTCCTTGATATTGAACAATATTGCTTTTACATTATCAAGAAAGAGGTCTCTCTACACTTCTAAAGAGGAGAAACTTAGTAGTGTAGAGCCTCAAATATAAATGGCCTAGAAATAACCCAAATGTTTTTTTTTCTATAATTTTTTTTTTCTTATTGAACTTTAAATCTTGTGGTAGATTAGTTTTTATATGTGAGGGACAATAAAAACAACAAATATATTTGGTATGAGTCTCAAACATCTTAATTCTTAAGAGAGTTGCTGTTGAAAAGTTGAAGAGCTGGTTTTTATAGAAGACTGGTTGACCTGTTAATATTTCAGAGATGTTTCCTCTTTTCTGAAGTGGGTTACTGTAACTATTTACAATCTTTGCTTACTGCTGCTATAGAATTCAGTGTAAACTCCTTGCTAGCGCTCTTTGGGAAAAGCAGTTTATTTTACTGACTTCATGAAATTTTTCATGATTTTCTTTGCCCAATTTTTGGTAAACTGGCTTTCATTTTCTCCCTCATTGTACTGATTTCTCATCCTCTTGATCAGTAGGTGGCAGTATTGGTCAGGGATTCCTTTGCACCTGAACTCTGGGAAATTTTAAAAGTGAACCTGAGTTCATAGGTAAGTGGTTGAGACTCAGTGCCAGGCATTTACAAGGCAGTTAGGTAAGAACACCATGGATCTCTCACTTTAATCACTGTTTTTGGAAAATTATAAATAACAATTTCAGAGTTTCTGTGTTCCATTTATTAGTCTGCTTTTATTCTTAACCTGTTGAGTGGGGAGGGAGAGAGGTGAGGGTTTTTTTTTTTTTGAACCAAGATGAGACATTTTGACAATGTCTATCTCAAGCAGAAGGATCAGGACAAGAGGAAAGACAGTGAACCAGGAAAGTAAGAAGAAGAGTGTCTCAGGAGGCATAATGACATATGTCTTTAGTGTGTATGTGGTTGTTTCTTCATTCAACAAACATTTACTGGGCATTTACATATATGTGCCGGGCATGTTCTACCCTTGAGATAAATGAATGAACAAAATAATAAGTAAAAATGAATAAGTAGAATTATCTAATATGTTGGAAGGATATAAGGCAGTAGACACAGAAAAGAGATGAACAGGGTAAGTAGGATGAAGGGTGAAGGGATAGGTTCACTGTAGGAGTAAACAGTATCTCATTGAACATCTAATAACAAAGACTTGAAGAAAGTGAGAAAATTGCCATGTGTCTATCTGGGAGAAGAGCATTCCAGACAGAGGGAATAATTAGAACAAAGACCCCAAAGCGGTAGTGTGCCTGGCTTACCAAAGGTTAGCAAGGGTACGAGCAGGGCTGGAGTGGAGTGAAGCAGGGAAGACTAATGGATGAGATCAGAGGTAACACTGGGATAGGGTTGGGGGATGAGGTCATGGCCTTATACTAGAACAACTATAATTCATTGTTTAAGACATTTTTGAGAGCAAAACAGGGCACCATTGGTAAGGACAGTAGCTGTGGAGTGATAGGAAGTGGTCAGATTCTGGATATAGTTTTAAAGATCGAGTCTATAGGGTTTCTGGTATGAGAGATAGAAAATGCATTTTTAATCGAGACAAATCACAAGATTTTTTACTTGAGCAATTGGAAGCATGGAGCTTCCAACCACAGAAATAGGGAAGATGAAGGTAAATTGGGTATTCTGAGGGAGTCAGGATTCAGGAGTTCAATTGTGGGTGTGTTAAATTTGAGGTGCCTATTGGGCATCCAAGTGGCAATGTTAGGCAGTTATATGAATAGGCAGTTATCTGTGCAGACAGTAGGAGAGAAGTCTAGGCTGGGGTCAGCCGCATGTACATGGACTTTTCACTTTAACCATGAGCTTGCCTGAGATCACCAAGGGAGTGAATGTGGATATAGTAGAGAAAATCAGCAAGAGGTGAGCCTTGGAGATGCCCGATGTTAGAGGTTAGGAAGAGGAAAAGGAACCAGCAAAGACACTGAAAAGAAATGACCTTTGAGATAATGAAGAGATTGTGATGTACCAGATACCAAGGGAAGAAAGGCAATCAAAGAGAAGAGAGTAATTGTCATGTCAGATCCTACTTATAGCTCACGTGAGCTAAAGGCCAGGAATTGACTCCTGTATCTACTATGTGGAGGTCATTGATGACTGGATGAGCAGTTTAAGTAAAGTGATGGGGTGGCAGACAGATTATAGCCAGGTTGAGAGAGAGAGAGAGAGCGTGAGTATTGGACAACTCTTAAAATTCTGTGATGCAAGGGAGCAAATAAATGAGACATTAGCTTAGCAGAAGAAGAAGGAGGTGTACTGAGGGCCTTGAATGCTGGATTAGATAGTTTTTGGAATTTGTGCAATTATATAATACATTAAGAGGTGACATGGGTACTAGAACCAGACTACCTGGGTTAGCTAATGTGACCTAAGACAAATCACTTAGGTCTCATTTTCTACTTTGTATAATGAGAACAGTAGGAATATTTACTTCTTGGCAGCTTACAGAATCAGTCTATATAAAGGGCTCAGAAGGCTCAGCAGCGTATCTGCCTGATAGTATTCGATAAACTTGACTAGTTTTATTAGGAGTATAGTGATCAGTATTATCAGATACAATATTATTTGCTTTCTCATTCAGTGTTGTTGGTTTCAATGCCATATTACTTTTCCACCTAGAAATCACTGGCAATAACTCTCCCTCAGGGTATCTGTGATACTGTAAAGGGCACGGAAATAATTCCATAACAAGTTTTCTCTACTTCAAGGTCAATGCAATTTTAAATAGGACTTGTTTCATTTAAAGTAAACTGGCGTAGGGGACAGAATTCTCTCTGCATCTCAGACCAGGAAGTCCAGGAGGAAAACAAACTGGTTTGAGACGCAGAGAGAATTCTGTTCCCTACACCAGGTCCCAGAAGAAAACAAATTCGTACCCAGTTTCTTCTCTTACCTGATACCTTGATTGCTCAAAGGATAATCCTGGGCCTCTGCAGTTGCTGTTAGCTGCTCCTGCTGACAGAGGTCCCATTCCATTGTCTTGCTTTTTCTGGATTTGTGATTTCTCAAATTTTATTTTTTTTAAAGATTTATTTGACAGAGAGAGACAGCGAGAGAGGGAACACAAGCAGGGGGAGTGGGAGAGGGAGAAGCAGGCTTCCCGCTGAGCAGGGAGCCCGATGTGGGGCTCGATCCCAGGACCCCGGGATCATGACCTGAGCCGAAGGCAGACGCTTAACGACACTTAATGACTGAGCCACCCAGGTGCCCCTCTCAAATTTTATTTTTAATAAATATAGCAATAGTAATTTTCCTTCCATTTCACTTGGCCTCACATCTTAGAATCTGGACTTGGCATCCAGCTTCTTTTTCACTTCTAACCTTAAGTATTACATGGGGTAACTTGACTCTGATACAAAGGGTATTATATGAAACATTAGAATCCCCCTCCCTCCATATAATTATTTCTTAAACTCCGTAAGATTTCTTTGAAGGGTTTCATGAGCTATTTTCACACATAGCTGCCTACGGTAATAAGAGAAACAGATTGGTTGCCAGAAAAGCTGCTTCTATGGTTTTTCCAACTAAAGCCAATATGCACTGACTTTGTCAAAAGCAAGCTTTTTATCTTGAGATTTCAAATCTTGATTTCTCAACCAAAGGAACTCAGATAAGCTTCAGAGAAAGCAGTCTACTCTCCACTGTCTTTACTCCTCTTTTGATGTTCACCTGAACAGCTCAGTTCTTGTTGCATCTCCTACAACCTTTACAAAATGGCAGCTTTCACGTAATCTCTGCCATAAGTCCCATTCCCCTTCAGCCAGGGCCAAAGTGAACAAAGAACTTAACCCTGGACTGAAGGGTCATAAGGACAGTCATAGAGAGTGGCCCACTTCTGAATAGTAGGTCAGTTAAATTTTTCTTTCACCTGACAGAAGTCTTTTACAAAAAGGAAGTGATTTAATCATTACATGTGTCTTTAAAACTCGCATTTCAGTGTGAGAACTCTTCGGGCATCTTCGCTTTGGTTGCTTGTGTCACCCAGTTTGTATTAGGCAAGAGAAAATTCTGAAAACAGGAAGAATTAACTGTTGAGAGATTATGCATCCCCTTTTGTCCAAGAATCTGGAAACACATTCTAGGACATGCCTCGTTCATCCTCAAGCTTGTCTTCGTGCTAAAAATGAGAAAAGGGGGTGCCTGGGTGGCTCAGATGGTTAAGCGTCTGCCTTCAGCTCAGGTCAGGATCCCAGGGTCCTGGGATCAAGTCCCACATCGGGCTCCCTGCTCCTTGGGAGCCTGCTTCTCCCTCTGCCTCTCTCTCTGTCTGTCTCTCATGAATAAATAAATAAAATCTTTAAAAAAAAAATAAAAATGAGGAAGGGATTAACATTCTTTATTCTTAAGAAATTATTAGGCATTGGGGCACCTGGGTGGCTCAGTTGGTTAGGCGACTGCCTTCGGCTCAGGTCATGATCCTGGAGTCCCGGGATCGAGTCCCACATCGGGCTCCCTGCTCAGCAGGGAGTCTGCTTCTCCCTCTGACCCTCCTCCCTCTCGTGCTCTCTGTCTCTCATTCTCTCTCGCAAATAAATAAAAAATCTTAAAAAAAAAAAAAGAAATTATTAGGCATTATTAGATAATGCCTTAAAATATACTGTGAGTTCCTTAGAAAATGTTATTATAAGGAATACCTTAAAGGTTCAGAAGAAAACATGGTTCTCCATTTGTTCCCCATTTCCTTTTCTTTCCAAACATTTTAGTATTTGCTATGTGCTGCACTGTGGTTTATATTTTGGTGATGTAAAAATCAATCATCTGGTGCATGCCCACAGAACACTAGATTTAGATTTGTAGATACCATTAGTATGGGCCAGTGATAGGGAATGTATTCTCAGCAAATGGACTCTGATTGGAGGGCGGCGGAAATGGGTGCAGCTAATGACAGATTAAAATTCAGTGGGAGTATAGAGAAAAGATGTTGTTGATTGGGAAATTTTAAAGGAGGCTGTGGCATTTCAGCTGGAAGCCCAGTTAGGATGCCACAGACTAGACCAGGCCAGAAACAATGAGTCTCAGAATACAAATGAGTTAGAATGGGTTATATTGATGTTCCAGAGTTGGGGTCAAAAAGACTTGATGATTCTATGGGATGGACAGGACAAAGAGGGAGGGGTTAAAGATTCTTGGGAGGACCGCTCAGTCAGTTAAGTGTCTGACTTCAGCTCAGGTCCTG